AAAGATGTCACACTATGGTAGTCTCCCTCCATCTCTCCCTACATGTTGTGTGAGACATTTAAAAGAGTGCAGCTGACTCAAGAAAAAGAAGGCTGGTGGTGGTTATCCATGATACTAAGCATTGTATGACTCACCTGTGATAGGTAGTCATATAAATCTGTTGAGTGTTTTGTGTTTATGGTGGAGGATTTTGGGAAACTATGGTACTGATTTTTGGAAATGGAGCACTTTTTTGACACTTTAATAAGTTTGAAGGCATTGTGCATTATACTGTGAATAACTGAAAGCACTTGGACACTTTATATGCACAGGGAGACTTTATTGAAGCACAAAGGACACTTGAATCCAGTTTAATGTTTATCTGAGGATATGAGCATTATAGAGAATGTACTTGTTTATTGCACATGTTTAAACAAAAACCAATAGCACTGTATAAAAGATAGAGTATACATAAAGTCCTTCATTAAAAAAGCCCCATGGTGTAAATCCATCATCAATCACGTCATTCAACTATGTATTCACAAGTGAGTCATGGTGAAAAAACACATCTATTGACCCACTTTCTGCCCCTACCATGACCAACCAGTCTTCATGCTCGGATATACAGTACGTCTGGTTTTGAAAGAGACCACATGCTTTTTTTTGCATGGGTACCCCTTAAAATCCATACTGGACAAGAGGGGTCTGGTATGGATTTTGGGATGACCGCCTGCTTTGTTTTGCTTTTTTTTTTTTTCAAACAGCACAAACCAGCTCTTGAAATCCTGAGACTACAATGCAGCTGAGCAATCCAGCTAAATCTAAGACGTACATATCCCAGCCTGGCAATAAATAATGAAGGAACTGAACAACATTGCTGAGACCAACACACTGCTTACCACTCAGCTTTCAGACTGACAGTACTGTGCATTACTGCAATACAGGAGAGTCTGACTGACTTTCACAATCAAGCTGCTGTGCAGATTATTACAGGAGGCTTACATGAAGATGAATGTAGGTTATTATGCTAATTATACAATTGCATGTATAATACATTTCATGACTTTAAATGTATCAAGAGTTATATTCGGTTATGGCCTTTATGTGATAATGAAGAATGACCATTATGGATATTGAATATAATTTTTGAGGTACTATTTCAAGTGTTTTTATGGGTAGTGGTGGGAGGATACAAGTGGAAGACAAAGTGTATTTGTGTTTTTTCCATTTTTTTGTATACTTTATTGTTAATTTACTTTTTTCACAGAAAAAGTAAGAGTGACAGTAACACAAACATTACTGTGAATAAGTCAAATAACAATAACCACACCAAAGATAATATAAGCCCCAAACCAATAAAGACCACTTTGCAAAGTAGCATGATGAGGCTTTGGTAAAGGTATAACATTTTTCAACAGCCTACATAGTAAAATTTGAGGGTAGTTTCAATAATATGTTGGTTAAAGCAAAATAGGTAATTTAAATATAAAATTCTTACAAATAACTCTGCTCATCCTTAGTAGCTTTTTATATCACACCTTAGCAAACCAATGAAGCCCCTCTGACTGCTTGTCTTTGAATGGGATTGCATGTACTTTGGATGCATAGGGAGATTAACCTTCTTCTTTGCTGGGACCACCTTAACAAAATTTCATTGCATTAAAGACAAAGAGTAGACTAATCAGAAATAGACATCAAGCACTTGCAGCCAGCTACTGAAAGAACAACTAGTATAATAGTATGGCAGAAAGGATACAGCTATGTAGCTACAGTATGCATTACTAGAAAACATTTCTGAGGGATGGATGGAAATATGATAAATTAAATATTTTTCACCCCAGAAAGCTATTTGTATCATTTGCTTTGCCAGGTCTTAGCTTTGCTATATTTTAATTTTCTGCAGTCCAGGATACCTGAAGATGTTGACTTTCCCACAGAGGGAGAACATCTGGTACCATGTCAGAAACAGTAGAATCTAACACTCTAGCTTCAAAGCATAAATGGCTTACAAATGGAAACAAACATGTTACCTTATAGGGAAACTAATAGTTATAGATATTGTTTATTTTTATAAGTAAAGTACTGGTACTGTACCTGGTAAAATTTATAGTATCCACGGTGCACTGCATGTCCAGATTTTACTGCCTCACATTTTGTATTTCCTGGGATCCCTAGGTATCAGTTCCTTGATTAAAAGGCACCCATCTCTTTTTCAATATAGACCATCTTGTACAATACAGCTATACTTGAAGACAATTACGTTTTATCAAGATTAAATGATAAATCCTTCCAAAACAGATGGTGAATTCTGATGAAAATATATTTGCAATATGTAATTAAGACTCAGCTAGGGTTTTGCTTTATTTTTCAAGTAATGAATGTAGATACAATAAAATAGAGACTCTATTGGATTCCCCATTTATTTTACATTATAAGAATGAAGCTGCAGAACTCAGACATCTTTTCTTAGTTTTTCAATGGCTTAGGGGAAAAATCTTAAAACTATAGTTTCATAAACATTATGCCATTGGTTTATCACACCACATATCACCAAATCTAAAATATCCGATTTGGATCATTTAGCTTTTGCTTAATTACAAATACCAGATACCAATTACTGACTTTAAAATTAGGCAATATACTGTACTTTCTTATGTGTGTATTATTTTCATATATTGATCTACATAGTACCACAAGGCATTCCCTTTTAACTAATACAATATAATATTAAAATAATTAAGTATGGGGGTGCATGCGCGATCGGCTCCGGGGATGGACGCTCAGTGAGGAGAGCTCCATCCACCCGCCAGCACGATTGCGGCACACTACGACACCAGGGAGTAATTAACAGCTCGTTAGAGCCATTAACCCCTCGCCATCTGAAAGGGCTATGACCCGCAGGAGGAAGGCGCCGGGTCACCCCACAGAAATTACAAGCTTTTACTCAGCACTCACACCCAAGATGGCACCACCCCCCTGCTGACAGGCTTGTCTACCCAGCAACAGCAGCAAGGAGAGAACACAGACCACCAGGCTGCATACCATCCGGACCCCAGGCTGAAGGGACAGCTCTATCCAGGAGACCCTGGTGAGTCCTCTCCCCCCCTGTCTCCCACAACTAGCAACCCGGCAAAATCCAGACCCAGACTGGACCTAGGATCACCCCCCTGACAGCCTTCAATCTTCTCTCTCAACCACTGCACTATCTGCTTCTGCTCCATCTTTAATTGAATCCTATCCTGCTTCTGACCAACCTATCACAGAGATTTCCATGAAGAACATGCTCCTTTCCCTGCGACAGACGCTACATAATGACCTGACTGCCTCATTATCCCAAATTTCCAATAACGGTCCAAAACCAAGAGAAACGTATCCTCCATATCGAAAACAAATTGGGAGAAGTGTGCACCACACATAACGATCTTATAGATGCACACACAGATCATACATCAGACATCGAACAAATCAAGCTCAAACTGACAGACTTAGAAGATTGCTCCCGGCGAAACAACATTAAATTCCGTGGGATCCCAGAATCCATCGCCACAGACGCCATTGTACCTGTCAGGAATGGACTGGCCAGCAATGGTGGGACTCACCTGCCTTATGGGCTGCAGTACCAGGGCTGGCCAGCGGGTGCTCCCAGCAATCAGGGACTCAATCTTGCAGCCAGCCAAACACCTGAAACTGCTTATACTGGTGTATTTAAGGGATGGCCAGACCTGCAGACTCTGCCTTGGTGTGTGTTTTTCCTGGGCCCTGTTTCCTGTTCCTGCATCCTGTTCCTGCATTCTGTTCCTGTTCCTGTTCCTGTCTTGTTGCTGACCCTGCCTGATCTGGACCTCTGCTGACTTCTCCTGCTCTGACCCCGGCTCGTTCCTGACCATCCCTCTGCCTGACCCTTTGTACCACGCTGCCCGCTACCTGCTGAACCTGGCTTGTGACCCCGACCATTCTCCGCTTGCTCCCCCTGTACCTACCTGCCCGATTGATATTGACCCGGCCTGCCTGACGACGCTTGCATTGTATGTACTGTTATCTGTGGGTGGTTTGGTTTGGTTTTTTTGCACTGTGTTATGTTTTAATATTGCACTGCGTTTATGTTTGTATTGTTAGTGTTAATAAATTATATTGTTTATAACATATCTGAAGTCTGCGTTTCCCTGCGTCAGTCACACACCTCTGGTCATACCCTGGAGCCCTGACATTACACCAAGGCCAAAACCTGACCAGAAGTGGCTGCACAGGGAAGCCATCTTGGTTTGTTGATGGGAAGGATGGATCTTGATGAGGTTGAGTATTTATATCTGCTAGTGTTTGATGACAGAGAGTATGCTTATCAGACTCTGAAGGAGTATCCCAGGGATGAACTGCTAGAATGCAGGGATGAAATTTTTTGCCGCCATTTAGTGCCGACCAGGTAGAGTCCCTGGTATGGTTATTAGAGGATGATGTGGATTACTTTCTGGAGCGTTATTCTGCATGTTCACCACAGGTATTAAGGGATTGTATAAACGCAGTGCAGTCTTTGGTCAGACAGGCTTTGTGTAAGCTGAGCTTTGTTCAACCCATACTGCAGACATGGTCAGATTTGTTGCACCCAGCCTCAGTCAGCTTACAAAAACCCAGTCCTGCTTCTAATCTATTTCCTCAAAGCTCTATTCCTGCTTTCCCAACAGCTCCTCCTGCCCTGCTATCTACTACCGCATGTCAGTACCCTGTTCCCACTCGCTGCACCTATCCTGCCTTTAACCCTGTAAAAAAGCCCTCTGTAGCAACTGTTCCCTCCCCTGTTCCATCCTCCAGCTCTTCTCTGTCTCCAGCTGCTCCATTCGTTTGCAGACCTGCATTTACTTACAGTGCTCCAGTAGTTAAAAGCAGAAAAAAGCAAAAATTCTTTCCAACCAATACCATCCTGCCAGTATCCAAACCAGTGAGCCTGCCGTCTGAGAACCTGCCTTCCGTGGTTCAGCCTGGTGCCTCGGCACCCGCACTTCAGCCTGAGGTCTGTACCCAGCCTGATGCCTGTACCCAGCCTGATGCCTGTATTCAGCCTGATGCCTGTACTCAGCCTGATGCCTGTACTCAGCCTGATGCCTCTACCCAGCCTGATGCCTCTACCCAGCCTGATGCCTCTACCCAGCCTGATGCCTCTACCCAGCCTGATGCCTCTACCCAGCACTGATGCCTCCATTCAGCCTGATGCCTCTACCCAGCCTGATGAACTGATCCAGCCTGATGATCCTATTAGGCCAGTTGACTCGATGCCCGCTGTTGATCCAGACGATCCGGTACCTGATCCGGTGCCCGCTGTCGTGCCAATTGACTCAGAGCCCGCTGTCGTGCCTGGTGACTCGGTGCCTGCCTTGCCAGATGACGCGGTGCTCGCTGTCGAGCCAAATGACCTGATGCCTGGTGACCCGATGCCCGCTGTCCAGCCAGATGATCCAATGTCTGACCCAGTGCCCGCAGTCATGCCAGTTGACTCGGAGCCCACTGCCTTGCCAGATGACGCGGTGCCCGCTGTCGAGCCAAATGACCTGATGCCTGGTGACCCCGATGCCCGCTGTCCAGCCAGACGATCCAATGTCTGACCCAGTGCCAGCGGTCATGCCAGTTGACTCGGAGCCCACTGTTGTGCCTGGTGACTCGGTGCCTGTCGCTCCACCTGGGGGCCCGGCGCCCGCCGCTCCGCCTGGGGGCCCAAGACCTGTCGCTCCGCCTGGGGGTCCAGCGCCCGCCGCTCCGCCTGGGGGCCCGAGACCTGTCGTTCCGCCTGGGGGTCCGGCGCCCGCCGCTCACGCTCCGCCTGGGGGCCCGAGACCTGTCGCTCCGCCTGGGGGTCTGGCGCCCGCCGCTCCGCCTGGGGGCCCGAGACCTGTCGCTCCGCCTGGGGGTCCGGCGCCCGCCGCTCCGCCTGGGGGCCCGGCGCCCGCCCCCCGCCGCTCCGCCTGGGGGCCCGGCGCCCGCCGCTCCGCCTGGGGGCCCGCCTCATCCAAATTCCCCAAATTCAACATTCCTCAGTTCTCCACAGAGAACTATATATGGCAACGAATCCCAAAAAGAAAAACAGCGTCATTACAGCCATAAGAGACTCCCTGAAGTTTCAATTTATTGCGGAAATAGCGCACCCACAAGGTTGCTACCACATACTAATCTGCAAAATCAACGACTCTACATATACATTAGTGAATGTCTATGGCCCTAACACCAATCAAATTCACTTCTTCAACAAACTTAACCCCACCATTAATCGGCACAGAAATGGCAGACTACTCATCGGCAGCGATTTTAACATCATCGGTAATCCTCATCCAACAAAAGATCCTCAAAACAAGCCTTCAACCGATTTCTCCACTCCAACAATCTTTATGACATCTGGAGATGCCAACACAGTACAGAAAAAGACTATACCTACTACTCTCCTTCCCACTCAACCTACTCTAAAATCGACTTCTTCATCACCGATAAATGGACGTTGCAACACATCACCTCCTCCAAGATTGGCACTATCACGTGGTCAGACCATGCTCCGATCACAATCTCTCTTGACAGCAAACAACATTTGTCGATACCCCCCGTTTATGGCGATTGAACTCGTTCCTGCTGAAAAACCAAGACTACAAGCAGATAATAGATGCACACAGAACATTCTTCGAAGTTAAACGACACCCGTGGTATATCCATAACCACTCTGTGGTCAACATATAAAGCATACATGAGAGGTATTCTGATACAGCTAAGCGCCCGCATCAACAAAAAAAGAGCCCGACAAATAGATAATCTCCTAACATCAATCAAAACAAATGAAGAAAAAAACAAAAAAATCTCCAGACCCAACAACCTCTGCATCTTTGACAGCAGATAGAAATAAATTAAGATCCCTTCTACTCCATAAATATGATCTGAATCTCCAGAAAATGATAGCAAAATTTTACTCACTTGGTAACAAAGCCAGCTCGTTGTTAGCCAAATCAGTTTCACAAAAACGGCTGAAATCCAAAACAGCCTCAATTAAACACCCATCTACGAATACCCTAAACACAAACCCCCAAGACATAGCAAACGCATTTGCAGTATACTATCAAAATCTTTACAACCTCAAAAACGACTTTAACACCACTCAACCAACAACCACATCCATACAACAATTTCTCCAAATGATTAATCTCCCCCGGTTATCCTCAGACCAACTTGACTCAATTTCTAGTCCAATATATCGCCCAAAGAAATAGAAACGATCATTAAAACACTCCCAATTAATAAATCAACAGGAAATGACGGATACACTAACGAATACTATAAACTCCTTGCCACAGAATTGTCACCACATCTGTCCAAACTCTTTAATCACGCTGCCTCCACAGGCTCATTCCCCAAAGACATGTTGCAATCTATTATAAAGCCTGGCTAAGACCCCCAACTAGTTCAGAACTACAGGCCAATTTCGCTACTCAATACCGACGTAAAATTATACGCTAAAATCATATCCTAAAGAATTCTCCCCTACCTACCCACCCTGATACACCCGGACCAAGTAGGTTTCATCCCAGGTCGCCAAGCACCCGATGCTACCAGAAGAATTATATCCCTCTTACACAATTTAGAAAGTACTAAGACCCCCTCCTTGCTCTTATCCTTGGATGCAGAGAAAGCGTTCGGACCCAGATACACTGGCAATTCTTACACCTCACGCTTCAAAAATTTGGTTGTTTGCTGAAAGCCGTCTTGTCATTATATTCTCAACCATCCGTCAGATGGCACACTATCCAATCCTTTCGACATTTCAAACGGTACAAAACAAGGTTGCCCACTCTCCCCGAAAATATTTACACTCCTTATTGAACCCCTAGCTTCCAAACTCAGAGAGGACAGAACATTCACAGGAATCACACATCTTAACATGGAACACAAAATTATCCTATTTGCAGATGTTATAATATTAATGGTGACTAACCCTAAAAAATCCATCCAAGCGATCCGCTCACATCTACATACCTACTCAACAGTTTCATACTACAAACTTAACTAAACCAAAGCCTCCATACTCAACCTTCACATCTTAGCCAAACAATTCCCATTTTCATGGGAAAAAAGTAGCATCCCATACCTAGGAATCAGACTTACACCAGTAATAGACCACCTATACACAGCAAATCACAAAATAGTACTTGAAAACATACCCCAAGAACTAAACACTCTACGCACTTCAGAACTCTCCAAACTAGGCCAATTGGCAACACTAAAGATGTATATTTGACCCAAAATCTTGTACATATTCCGTACACTCCCCTTACCAATCACTAATTCATTCTTCTCTAAACTACAATCAATCCTTACAAAGTGGAACTCGAAAAAACCGAGACCAATCTTCTAATAAGACCTACAACTTAAGGAGAAGCAGGACTCCCGCACCTCAAATCTTACTACACAGCTACCCTCTTAGACCAATTATATTTTTGGTGGAATCCTTTGAAAGAAAAAATCTGGTCCATAATGGAAACCCTTCCCTTCCAATCACTTAAACCCCAAAATATACTCTTGTCCCCACCGTCAAAAAGCATAGAAACCCACCTAAAACATCCCTGCATTATAGCTTCACTGCAAGCTTGGCGAGACCTTCTATCCACTAAATTCAAAGGTATTAAACATTTACCTACTCCAACCAACATACTACACCTCTTCATCCCCTCTTTGGACCTATCTCAATGGGCAAAACAAGGAATAACTAAATTAGCATATCTCCATTCCAATCAATCCTTACACTCCTTCCAATCTCTCCAAACCAAATATAATATCCCTACTACTGAAAATTTTACATACCTAAGAATCGCTCATTGTTTACAAACAAATAAATTACCCCACAACACCATACTACCAATCACAGCCTACACCTTTTTCACCAAACCCCAATACCCAAGTAAAGGTATTTCCACTTTCTATGCACACCTCATTAACTCACAGTTCACTTACAAACAACCTCCCTAAGCAATTGGGAAAAATCCTTTCAACCCAAATCACTCTAAAATGCTGGGAAAATACCTTCAACATCTCCTATAAAGCTACCTGATGTAGCTCCCACTGGGAGTCATATCTAAAAATACTCCACCAATGGTACCTGACCCCGATTAAACTCTCTATCTACTAGCCGACACATTCTTCTACATGCTGGAGATATTGTGGCGAACTAGGCTCAACAATTCATATTTTATGGTCATGCAAGTCACTTCGATCCTTCTGGAATTACTACATTCCAATTAATATCCGAAATAAACAAAACTCTGATATTCCAGAACCCCTAATTAGCACTCCTTCACATTGGAATAGCGAAACTCCCTACCCATTCCCGAACAATTATTACCCACATACTCTTTGCAGCAAAAATTAATATTACTAGATTATGGAACACGAATAATACCCCCTCAATCACTTCATTAATTATAGACCTTAACACCCAATGTCAAATGGAAAAACTATCTGCAATTAACACTTCCTTCTACCACAAATTCAATACCTAGTGGACCCGATGGCTAAATCACCCAAAATGTTTTATACAACCCTGATGACATTTCAAGAGATGAAATCACATCCCATACCAAGACTGGTATCTCCTCAATTTCCCAGTTATATTCTTCCCCCCTCATTCCTATCCTCCCCCACCTCCCCTCCAATACCCCCCCCCCCCCCCGTTAACCCCCGAAATCCCATCACCAAAGTTCATCAAATACATACGAATACCTCTGATGATATTGCTAAAACAAGACCAACACCTCGTCCGCCCAAGAACGGAATTACAACAACATGATGGATCATATTTTGTCTATCGTAATATTGTATGACTGAACCATTTATCTTTTCCCTGTTTTTTCCTTGTTTACCCTTGAAAAACTCAAAAATGATTGAAATATAAAAAAAAAAAAAAAAAAAAAATAATTAAGTAAAACAAAGAAAAAGGACCTTCATACTTTGATCAAATCTTGGTGGATTATCATTGACATCGATGAGTGTAACATTGATGGTAGTTGATCCAGATAGTCCTCCAACTTGACCTGCCATATCTTTGGCTTGAATAACAACAGAATAGTGCTCTCTTGCTTCTCTATCCATATTAGGTAATGCTGTCCTGATAACTCCTGAAATAGAAAACATATTAAAACCTCAACATCAAAATATATTATGAAAGGTAAATTATGCATACAGTATATTAAGGTTAAACTGTATATTCTGTTTATTGGATTAGTAGGAGATGGCTTGATATGCACAGTGTAAAAGTATTACTCTTAACAAACCAAATACATTAAATTCCCAACTTTCACAATGTACAAAGCTGCAAACACTTTAAGAGGACATCCAGTCTTAATAAAGTTGAACAGCAATTAAATGTTGTGCTATGTGTGAAAGAAAAATTCTGTTTAAACAAAC